CGGGATCCCGCACAGTGCCATGCGGAAGGCGCTCACGGGTAGGGGGGAAACCAGCTGCCCTGCGTGTTTTATCTGACGTGTCTTTCAAGTATTTCTTTCAAAGCATTCTGTCTGCATAACATGTCTGTGGAAGGATGTCTTATTGGAAACGCTGGCATGCTTTCTTCACCTGCTATGCAAGGAAGCGTTGCTGCAAGAATGAGAGTTAACAGAGGGGAAGAAAGTACATCAGTATGCATACTACCAACTTTTTCAGTGTAAAGCACGCCTCGTGTTGTTTTTCGGTCATAGACCCCGAAGCAGGTGAGGAGCGCTTTTGGTCTAATTGGACCATTGCGTTTACAGGGAAGAACTTCCTTCCTGAAGTTTGATGGGAAGCCCTGCTAACAAGCAGGGAAACTTAGTGTGTACGTAATTAAATATTGGCAGCTTTTAACTGGGTGTTTATTGATTCTGAGAAATAACAGGCCATCAAAGAAAGCCTCTTTAGTAGAGGAGGAAGCTTGATACAGTGCCAAAGGAAATTTGCCTCTAAATATAAGTTCAGCTAAACACTTCCTGTAAAAATCTAAAGTCAGTGTGAAAGTTTTCCTGTGTTGGAAATGGTCGTCTTCTCTGAGAAGTTTAAAGAAATAACTGTTCCCTAGTGGTTCCCCAAAATTACAGGATTACAGCAGAGCTAATTGCTAAGAAAGGCAAAACAGACTTCTTCCTGCCCCAAAATAGAGAAATGCCAAGATTTTTAAAGGTGTTAATCTCTTAATTGGTGTAAATAACTATGCTTTTAAAAAAACACCTCTTCCTTAAAGAGCTTTTAGAAAAGTAGTGATTGCATTGTGCAACCTCATACATACCTTTCTGACTTACAGTCTGTGGTTGGCAAAGCATGAAGAAGACTTCTGATGTACTTTGGTGTTAACGGTGAGCCTTAGCTTGCTGGCAAATCTGTTTATAAAGAGCATAAGTATTAAAATCTTTCATGTCTTTGAGGCAATAACTTGAAGGCCAAGGAACCACCTCTTGACCCTTTTCTTGGGCATCATTAATGTAAATGGGAAAAGAAACTCACCTTCCAGTCACTGAAATGTAGTTTCTTGTATACATATTGGGTTTATTATTTGATTATAGGGGGTGCCATCCTTTCTAGGTGGATAGCTAGTCATTACGGGTGATATAACTTGAGTTATGGAAGAATGTTTAAAAAGCCCTAATTATCACATTCCTTTTTGATTTGTAACTCAGCTGGCCATCAAGCTACAAAGATACTGTTTATAGTTTTAGTCACTTATTTGGAAGTCTGAATCCTGGCTTTTTAAAACATCAGACGTTTCTTTTTTATACTGCTTTTGTGCCTTGATCACGTTTTTATTTCTTCCACGTGTTAATTTGTGTTTTTAAAAGCATCTCCATGGTCACTTTGAATGGCATATTTTCAAAACAGAAATTATATACTTGTCACTACTGAACATTGCTCGATTAGTATTTGAAGTTAGTATCTCCATGCTGTCTTCAGCGAGGTCCTCAGTTTAGGTCCTTTCCCTGCAAGCTGTTTCTAAATGTTATGTGTTTTCCATGTGACATCTCGGGGATCCATCTGTTCTGTACATTTGCACTGTAAAACCCCCGTTCATTCATTCTTGCCACTTCTCAGTTCTGTGTGTGGTTTGTCATGCTGATTTAGAAAAAGGGTGTCTTTCCCAAGAGACACCTGTGTGGAATGTCTGAGACACAAACTTTACTGCCAAGATATTTTGGTATTTGTCAGCGTAGTCTTTAGAGAGCTGCCTATTCTTTATTGTGTTCAACTCTGAAGGCCCTTTGTGGCCATTGTGTCCCCTCTCCTTTGTTCATCTACTAGCAGGGCAGTGGCTGTTGCCCCTGATCTGTTAAGGGAGAGCTCACTTCTTATATTTGCAAGATACCAAAACTTAAAAAAAAACAACCCCAAAATCACCAAATAAAAAAAAAAAATCCCCCAAAATTAAAAAGTCCCCACTTTTCGTAACAAGGAGGCATTTATTTTCAGCTGGTGGAAGAAGAATTTGACCTTCTTCTGAGACTTCTTCCCGTCGCTGGTGTTTCGTAATAAAGGACTCATCTATTGGGCCAGTTTGACTACTGTTTACGCTAGTTTTTGTCTTCAGTCTTTGTATTAAACTGGCTGTCTGCAGCTGTTAGTGACTGCTGTGTTTGGGTGGTAAGGTCCTGTTGCTCTGTTTCTAAAAATGCTTGAGTGCTTGGTCGTGAGATCTTGGGGCCTAGGTGGAGAATAGGGCTTTGCAGGCATCTCTGTAGCTTGGGTAATACAGTCACCTTTTCTCTTGCTCTAAACTCAAGAGCAGAGATATTTACTTGCCCAGGATGCATTGCATCTCATGCCTTACCTGTAATTTTATGTTTGTAATTGCAGGACTTGCTAGATAGCTTATTTGCTTGGATGATGCTTGTGGCCTCCCTGTGGGGTTGAAGGGAGCATGTGTGCCTCTTCCTGGGCACAAGGCCTGCTTGCCTGCAACTGATGGTGTGAACGGAAAGAAAGGTTTTATGCCGTATGAAATCAGGAGTCATTTCATTTTATGGAGTCATAAAACAGTGTTGCACTTCTTTAGAATTAAACAACAATACTGTTCTCTGTTGCACTGTACTCTGGCACTGAGAGTTGTTTGATAACAAGGGCTTTGGCCTTCTTCTCATTCTTGCGTCTTGTCTGTTGCTTCAAGACCTTAATATGTTTGGACAATAGTCCCCTTCTGTAATATTTAAATCCGTGTTGGGAAAACTGTATAAATCCATATTTGTTTAGGCTTTCTCAAGGCTTAACATACTTTCAAAGGTTTAATTTATTCTGAATTTAAAACTGCTGAATAGAGTATCATAACTGAATGGAGTGTAGCAATAGACAGATAAATGACGATGCAAAATAACATGGTAGCAATCCATATTTATACCCTGTCATTTTAATACATTAGCTCAACTCATTCATTATATAATTTTCAGAAAATAAGCTGCAATCATTGTCATCCTTTTCGTCGTTAATGATGTTTCTTTATATTAGCTTGCAGTTTTGAGAAAACAGAGCATTGTGAAGTTCAGCATATTATTTCTACGACTGTAGTGCTCGTAGTAGAAACATACACCTCTGTGCAGAGTAAGCAAATAGAACTGACAGCTAGAAAACAAATACATGAGACACTGATTTTGCATCAGTCTTTCAACTCCAGCTATGCCTTTAAGGGTTAAATGTTAATTTTGTGGAAAGACAGAAACCTGTATGAAAATTTACTTTTCCTATGGGATTCATAGCTCATTCTTTTGCTCCCCTGTATAGTCCAACCGAAAACAAAGAGCATCAATCTGAGCCTTTCCTTAGTTCACAAAGTCTGAGTTGTTCAATGTGGTGTGATCTTGAAAATTATTTTCTTTTTCAATGGAACATGATATAACAGTGGTCTGGGAGGCAATCTTCAACATGTTTGTGAACCTAGTTGAATGATCAATTAAGAATATTCCCAATTCCCCATCCATTTGGCTTGTGGAGTATGTTTAAACTGTATTACAGCCCTGAAAGGTAAGGTAAGTGAATTTATGATCTAGGTTTCCATAACATTCTTTCAAATTTGTAATAGATTTTTCTTGCTAGTCTGGATTACTTTGAAAATGGATGCTATGGGGTGATTCTCCTGATCTTGAAAGTTACTTAATGACCCCTTTCCTTCCCACCCTTCTTCCCTGTGCATGCCACTCACCAGGAAATGCCACCAGCACTGGAACTATGATTTTTCTTTTAAAGAGAGTGCATTGCTTTTTTTAAAAGTTAAAAAGGTTTTACCAGGTTTCTGGTCTATATCTTGTGTGTAGTAGGATATGCCATGCGATGCCTGCGATTATAGCATGTCTGAAGTGTTTCATAATGCGAATACTTTAATCAACTACATAGTAATAATACTGTACTTCTAATATAAGAGCTTTCATCCTGGAGGTTGTAATAATCTCCAATTTGTAGTGCTGGAACTAGCAGAACTTAATATGCAAATCTCACTGCAAAATGCAGTCAGCTCTGGGGTGAAATGTGATGGGCCATTAACAATGCACAGTAGAGTATAAAAAGTTATGATATAAGGTGAAGAAAATACTGTGTTAATTGTCACAGAAGATTCTTAGGTTTGGGATGAAATGATTAATTAGATATGCATACGCTAAGGTATCACAAAAGTGGAGGTATGAGATGGTTGGACTGTCTCTTATTGCCATTGTCCAGGCTATCAAGTTTTGTTCAGGTTCTCCCTCTGCTCTTGTGCCTGTCTGTCCAAGGCTATGTAAAGGCACATTCTTTAGTTTTTGGAGCTGAAGAGTGGAACAAAAGGCTTTCATTTCTTGTAAAGCATTGATAAAGAAGTGCATATCCATCAATGCTGACACTTCCTCTGTTTTAAACTATGCCATTTCTACTTGTGGGAGTAGATGATGAGACAGATAGGGGTCCAAGTTCTTGGGCTTTCTAGAATAAACAGCCACCATAGCTAACTTCCATACAAAAGCCTTTTTATCATGTTCAGATTTCTAAAGCCTTTTTAAAAACGCATGTCAATAAGAAGTTGATTCTTACATTGTGAAAGTTCAGCTCCTTTATGGAAGAAAGCTTTGACACCTGACCATCTTGCCTTATGTAGACACATGTGTATATACATCTTCTATGGATTCTTTATTTTTGCACAAAATGGATTCACAAGTGAGACATCTGGGTTGCATGACTGTGGTTTATAGGTTGCGTGGAAGGGAACCTCTGAACTATATAAACAGAAAACTGTTTATAACATTAGATGCAATAATTCAGCTTCCGTCTTACTGAGAAACTCGGCTATCCCTTACCAATTGCTGTAGGTATTATTCTTCTGAATGCCGATGCACACAATCCATGTCTTCATTAGTGGAGTTATTAAAATTGTGTTTCGGAGCTCTCCTGCAGGACGTGTGTTTCTGCAGGGCAGCACTTCAGAGGCTGCAGAACAATCTGGGCAGAAAGGGAACTCAGGAACTCTCAGCTTGAGCTCCCGCTGTGAGCAGGACCAGCTCAGAGGTTAGGAGCAGGCTGTTCAGGCCTGGCGTCACCCTGGGATAGCTTTTTCTTACATCCAGTGGGAACCAGTCTTGTTTCAGTTTTTGTGTATTGTCCTCCCACTGTGCGCTGCTGGAAGCAGCCTGGCTTTCTCTCTTTGATGACCTCCTTACAGATGGTGGTGGGGCTGCTGTTAGGCCCTCCCAGAACTCCAGGCTGAGCCAGCTCTGTTCCCTCAGCCTCTCCCACAGGGCAGGTGCTCCAGCTCCCTTTGTGGCCTTCTGCTGAACTTACTCTGTTTTGTCATGTCCTCCCTGGACTGGGAGAGCCAAGACTGGGTGGGGTGTGTTGATGTGGTCCCACTGGTGCTGGCCAGTGGTGGGGTGATCACTTCCCTTGGTTGGCTGGGCTCCTGTTGCTACAACCCAGGGTTCTGGTGGCCCTCTCTGCTGCCATGGCACTCTGCTAGCTCTTGTTCTGCTTGCTGTGTGATGTGAGCCCCAGGTGTTTTTCAGCAGAGGCCTGTGTTTCTGCCAGGGGTTTTCCTACCCAGGCACAGGACTCTTTCTTTGTCCCTGTTGAATTGCATGAGGTTCCTGTTGGCCCATTCCTCCAGCCTATCTAGATCCCCTGAATGGCAGCCCTGTCTCTGAATTTATCAACGGTTTGATGTCATATGAAAACCTGATGAGCATGGTCCATGCTGGGATGTGCCTTGTTTACTGTCTGTATCGGTAACCTGGAGGAGAAGTACTGATTGATGCCTTCATTTTGACGTGTTTTGCACATGCATTGTTTTCTTTGCTTATACCTTTTTCTGCCTCTCCTATTATTAACTTGGTGACCTTGCATCACCTTGCCTATTGCTTTGTATGCTATACGAGAAACTATGGTGTTCTTTCTTTCTTTAGAAACATAAACCAGCTACAATAAAAAAAAAAGGCATGGGAATAGGAGAACCAGCATATGTTCATCACTTAAGTGATAACCCCAGAGAAGGCTGGAATGGGGAGAGAGAGTCCTCTCACTGTTATCAGCTCCGATAGCTTGCTGCTTCACTCCTCATCACTTCCCTTTGGCCAGCCTTTGGAGCATTTCTGAAATTGAACTGTATCTCTCTGGGAATTAAGTCCTTAATCAGTAAACTTGGCCTTTTTATTACATATTTTTATTTAATTTGTAATAAATAGTTAACTTTATGAAAGTTGGAAGTAGAACATTCTTTACAAAACAAAGCAGGAAAATGTACTTTCAAAGAATGGAAAAGCATGCACGCTACAGATACCTTATGAGAGGTTATATAGTTGATTTGTATAGGAAAAAGAAGGATATATTTGAGCACAAAAATTCAAAACCAAATACTATTTTGGAGACACCAGGATCTAGAAATGAAAACTATCTTCTTCTGTCCTTCTCTGTAGATTTTGATCTATGTAGTTAAAATTCGGTATCTTTAATACCCCTATATTGAATTAGAAAATCCTTTATAACATTACAAGTATTTCCAGATGGGCTAAGCTACAGCATTAGCATTACTTCATCCCATTTGCAATTGTCATAATGGAATTGGATAATAAACTTTTGTCGAAACTAGGATTGCATATCAATATTAAGATAATTTCTTTACTTGTGTTTCCTTTGAGACTACTAGGTTTTCTGCCATCAAGCAGTAGTGTTCTGGAGATGAGTAAGAGAAGTTAAATCAAATTTAAATCAAGTTATAGTTAAATGAGCATTATAAGCTGCAGTCCATCTATCTGGATTTTGAATCATGTAGTATTTCAAATTGCTTTGCTTATTTTCTCTAAATCTGTAGTTTCAAAACCTGTTGTTTTCATTTTCAACATATTCATAGGACGTGCCTTTATAGGTTGTCTTTCTGATTTACAGGCTTCATTTGTATTTTTATTTTTTCCAAATCAAGGCAGTGTACCTTCTTACGTGTGTATTACATCAGCACAGCCCTCACTCTTCAGTTTTCTTTCAAATATTTGAAGGTTTGTTCAGATTGTAAACAAGTTGTCAAGTAAGTAGTATGATGCTAGTTTACTACTTCTGAAACTGTTTAGACTGTAATTCCTAGTGTTTCTCTGTTAGCTATAGAGACCTAATTTAACACCAGAGTCATAATAGAAGGGCAGAATTTAGCCTACTTTGTTTTTTATTGAGCGTTCATGAGACAAAGTGATTTAAAATCCTGGCCTTTGCTTCTGGTTTCTGCTTGTTCTTTGATGCATGGAGAGCCTTGGATAAAAGCTTTTGTTGAAGTGTTGCACTGAAAATTATATAATTGTGTGTCAGCTTGTTCACTTCATTACTCTCATGGAGGGAAAATACTTCTGCATTATAGCAAGTAGAAGAGAGGCCTTTGCATGCGTACCATGCTTTATTAAGTACAGTCTGTAGACTCTCTTTTTTTTTTCCTCTCCCTCTGTTTCAGACTCCAGGTAGGGGTGGATCTCAGAGCTCAGATTCAGATTCATCTGCCACACCAGGAAATGCCGTGGACGTGAACAATGAAGGCTCCTCTGAGGTACTGTGCACCATACATGGGACTGGAGTCTTAAACCTTTCTCTGATCCCAGTGAAGCTGTTGGGAGTAACTTTTGATGCCCTAGCTAATTAACAGCTGTACTACATAAATACTCAGAAATGTCACTTTATAAGAATTGGTTGTTTTTTAAGTAAAAAAAAAAAAAAAAAGGAAGGCTAGGCCATATTTATATGTAAATGTTAGGTAGGCTTATCTATCTAAATGGTCACAAGCAATACTTCCTGTAATCTTAGAGATGAATTATTAAAATTCAGAGCAATGAGACATAAGCTTAAGTAAATATTAGTAAATATTTTATAAGAGTTCCAAAAAAACCCAGAGCTTAACATTGTATCACACTTGTACTCGCTTTTCACTTTGCTTCTGCTAAACTATAATGTTTATGGGGCATCTTCCTCCTTGTTGCAAGATATCAAATGTGTTGGGTTTTGTTTGGTGTATATCTACCCCTTGTAAATCCTATCCGTTTTTATGTGCTGTTTGCCATACTTAACCAGCAGAGTAAGTTGTTGTCCTTGCTTCAATCCCATATTACAATGTCTTCAGATTTACAGTGTTGTCAAATATTAACTCTGAAAAATGCAAACTGACTTCACTGGCTGTTGAAGCTAGTTTGTGCTAATGTAGCCTGATTACCTAGCTTGAAAATGTTTCAAGCTTAGCATACAAATGCAGTGCAAGGTTCATTACTCCTATTACAGCATTAAAGGGAGCAAAGTGCCTTTTCTTACACTGAATAAAGTGCATGATATAAATATTCCGATGTCTTCTTTGATAAGAGATAGGAGAAACTTTCACTGTGCTATTTAAAATCCTAATTGCCTTCTATCTGCATATCTGCTTATTTCTTATTTCTTGAAGCCTTACTGCAGTCAGTATAATCAGACATTCCTTAATATTTTGTTGCATGTTACACAAGTCATGCATTTGTGAGTTCAGATCTGTCTCACATGCATATTTACACTGTTCCTGAAGCAAATAAATGCTCTTGAATTGCAGACTAAAATTTCATTACTTCTGTAGTTAATTAAGGCATAAAAATGTGCAATGAGGTAATTGCTTCTTTCCAAAGTTTGGCTAAAATTGCACAATTCTTTTAGCATGAGTGCAGTATCACTGACTGTGCAGCTGGTGGGTGTCACAAGGTACCTCAGTACTGATGTAGTAGTATTTTCTTAACATAGGGTGAACTTTCAAAAAGATGGTGTGCCTGCACTGTTGCACCATTGGCTTTTCTTGCTACCGAGTCAAAACTGGGCGAGACCAACGGCTGCCATGTCACTTTTGGTTGATACTGTATAACACGAAAAACTGTCTGGTAGTTGTCAATAATTGTACCATCTGTTGCATTAGTTACAAGTGGGGTGTTCTGCTTAGCATATGATTTAAATATCTGTTTCAAGCTGAGCTCTGAAGCTGGTGATGGGTTTTTACTCTCCTGCGATTCATGGGTTGCAGCATGCAACTCGAGCCTTTCTGTTGGTCTTCCTTTTCCTGCACAGCTGGCCTGAGATGTTGCCTCTGTGAGAGCTTCTCTCCAGGAGCACCACAGTGGGACTCTGCAGAATGTTTGCTCTCTGTTTTACTTTTATATTGCCCCCTGGTTCTTCAGTATTATGTAGACAGAAATCCAGTTAACTTGTTTGTGCTTCAGTATTTTTGGCTACATTTTGTAATTTGTATTGCTGCAAGATTCAAATGGAGAATAATTATTAAATCTGCACAGATCCTCATGTTTCCTACTTTCTCAAGCCTGGTTGAAACCAATCCTGATTTTTGAGAATTGTAGTATGAGTGGGAAATTCTGAATTCAAACTGTTCCTTGCTCAAGGAGAGGTGAAAATCTGTTTTAGACTAGTCTGTGGCCATGTCAGCATTTCGGATCACACATAGACCTGTAATCAAGTCTAGAGACATCATTTATTCACTGCAGTCTGTCCAAGGAGGAAATGTTTGCGTCTATCCTACCTTTGTAGCTTAGGTCCCAGTGCAACACTGTCTGCAGGAGAGGGTTGCTAAATATTCCATGCTTGCAGTGAGTCCACCAACATGCTTATACTTTCACAAGTCTAATGTGGCTGCATGAGCTGGACAGGTTTGCCACAGACATCCTTTTTGTGAAGGGCCTTAGCTTTCCCATGCATCCATTGAGGGCTGTATTCAGTCTGTTCTACCTTTGTCTGTAGTGCTCTGCCGTGGAGGGGCAAGCATCAGAGCACTTTACTCTCCAGCCTCCTTTCTCTAGGTGTTTAAGCATGTAGCATGTGTCTTGAAGATGTAACGCTGTTGTTCTGTAGAAACCAATTTAATTTGTGGCTTTGGTAAATCTCTGGTGAGTACACCAAGTTTGTTTTTTTAAATCCTACCAAGGAAGGTGCATAACTTTCTCTATGTGAGCATGGCAGCCAGGCAGGCATGCAGGTGTGCTGGCACTTGGGCCTGTCCTGCTGCTGCAACCTTGCTTATTGATTTACAGGGGTATTTCTGCAATCTCACCACATCACCCTTGCCTCTCCCTGTGAAACATCTGAACACCCTTACGGAAAACTGTGTGAGGGATCTGACCTGATGCCTTGTAACGGTCCATTCACACCTTGTTACGCAGCTTATTCCTCTGTCACATGAAAGGGTTACCAAGAGTGCCTGGAAAACATGTAGGATGCAGCATGGTGCTAGCTTTTAAAGTGTGATTTAGATTAGTTTATTTTCATGTTCTTAATAACTGTTCCTTCTTGCCTTCTCCATGATATTCAGATGTGTTTTGAAAAAGCTATCTTTCCAAAAGGGAAACAGACCTTACTTTGGTGATTGTAGAGAACTTTCAGTGTAAGAATTTGAAGAGCATTTGATTCCAAATCTGCTTTTTTGTCTTTATTGGTTTCTTAAAAACAAATGTGCATTTCACAGGGCTTCATCTGTCCACTATGTATGAAAGTGTGTGTAACTCCCACTGATCTGTCTGAACATTACCAGAATGAGCACACTGGGACAGCAGGAAGACAGGAGCCTCGTGACCTCCCAGCTGTTACTGTGGGTCTTGTTTATTTTGTTTCAATAGCTTTACTAATAGGCTGCTTTAAATGAACATACATCTTTTCTTCTTGCTTGGGTGTTGGCTTTTTAAGTTGTTTCTTTTGATTCCTTGCTGAAACATAATTTGACCTCTTATGCATGATTGCAAAGTATACATTCAGCAGAAGAATTAATCTATATCTAGTTTTCTGGTTTGCAGTTGTCTCTCACATGAAACATTTGTGGTAAGTGGGATACTTGCAGTCACCAGTGTATTCTTTTTGAACATGTATTCTTTATTATCTGGTCACAATGCAAGCACCTTACTTGAATAAGCTGTGACTTACCAGTGACAGACTGTG